CCGTTTCTTCGCCCCCCCCCCCCCCCCCCATCTCCTTTCATTTTGTTGTTGCTGGGTAATCTAAAAACAGGGCTGTAGTTGACAGTTGGTGCTGGGAAAGGGTTTAGAATATTCGGGGTGAACAGAGTTAGGCCATTTTTTCTAAGTATAACACTGTTTAAGAGAAGTAACACTGAAAACGAGAATTGGGAGGCAAGATGAGATGGGGAAATAAATGGATATGAGGTCTACTAACGAAATTAAATTTGTTCTGCAAAGATGAAATGTTGGTGATTGGTGTATGCAAGAGTTGTGCTCACTAAGGAGGAGAATGGAAAATTGGCTGATATCCTACTTTGTGATATTTACATGGGTAACGGATGCTGGCATGTGTGGGAAGCAGAGCAAGATAAAGAAGCTGGATAGTGGAGGGAGGAATGTGGAGAGAAAAGGCAAATAAGGGAGAGGAGAAGCTGTAATGGTAGCGGAAGGGGCATGTAGGTATAGGAAACATTGAATTTAGTGGGTGAACATTTTTTGTTGTAGACGGTACTGTATTGTATACTGGCACAGGATTCAGAGTGGTCATCAAAGTTTGAAAAGAAATAGAGGCTGCAGTGGTTGGGGTAGGGTCAGTCTGTTTTCCTTTTCCTTTACCTTCAAATACTAAGTGAATTGTTGCTGAATTCACGCTTGTTAAAATTAGACTTACTAGTATTAAAAAAAACTAGTCTGGCATTTGGTAGATTGGTGCCACATGTTTCTGCAGATGAAAGATACATAACTGAAACAAAATCACAGTTGGAAAGCAAAGCAATGAATAGTACAAATTAAGAATGTAAATGGAGTAATTGCACTTGAGGGACAAGAGAGTTGAATGTTTATTGATGAATGGACAACTGGAATCAAGCAGAGGAAAATAATGGAGATTAAAAATGGTTGGTTGGAAATTGCTTGTGAAACAAACTCCTTTAAAAAGAGAAGTTAGAGAGACTCAGCACCATTTCAGAGATGGAATAGACTTTTTAAGGCTGTAGAATGGCATTGATTTGGCAGATTAAATAGATGTAAAAACTACCCTCCCTACCCTCCCACTCCCCGCTGTTCATTTTGGTTGTTTTCATGTTTGTGTCTCAATACTAATGATTTAGCAAATTAAGACAAAAACTTTAAATAGCTTTTGGAAAGCATATTATTGGTTAAGAGGTTAATTAAGGCATCCGTTTTAAAGAATGTATTGCATGTGACAGACTTGTGTTTCTAGCTCTCCCCCCTCGTCCCTCCCAAGATATAGGGAGATCAGTCCAAATAGTGTAGAAGTGTGGCTAGCTGGCCTAGGGGAGTCTAAGAGTACCCTACAGCATTCAAGGGTGAATGGGGATTGTGTACCCTTGGCAGAGGTGAAAAGGTTGAATCTGTTCAAAGCTTTAAATGTTGTGCATAATTTGAGAGGATGGAGAGAATTCCACAGTGTGTCAAATGATGGACATGGATTTCAAAACTTAGGTCTTCCACTTGCTTTTCTCAACCTTGTAGCAAGTTGCAGCTACATACCCTAAGTTAACTAAAATAAAGACAGGTTATGTCTACACTGCATTCCTCTTTCGAGAGAGGAATGCGAATACCACCGAGCGAAATTGCAAATGAAGTGTGGGTTTGAATTTCCCGCACTTCATTTGCATAATGGCATCCGGGCGCTTTTTCAAAATACTGTATTTCAAAACAACAAACGCAGTCTAGAAAAAACCCTTCTTTCGAAATAACCCTTACTTTTCTTTATTTCGAAAGAAGGGTTTTTTTCTCAAAAGAACAAACGCAGTCTAGACAGGGTTCTTTCAAAATACGGTATTTCGAAAAAGCACCCAGATACCATTAAGCAAACGAAGCGTGGGAAATTCAGATCCGTGCTTCATTCACAATTTCGCTCAACGGCATTTGCATTCCTCTCTCAAAAGAGGAATGCAGTGTAGACATACCCTTAGGCATTTGCCCAGTCCCCTTCCATCCACACACAATACCCTCTTACACTTAGTGTTTGAATTCCAAGCTAGTGGACCTGTCCGAGGGTAGAGACCTAGAGTTTGTGTGTTGCTTTTATTTAGGATAGTAACTCACCAGTTTGCTGTGAGAATGCAGACAAAATTGTTTGAGTAGTAGTTGTCCTCCTGTGATTTCTGCCTTAGAATGTGTCTAGACTACTGCTGTGTTCTTTCAAAAGTAAATCGAAAGAATGAGGCAGGTTTTTTTTGACTGTGGAAAACCTCATTTTACAAGGAATAACGCCTTTTTTTCGAAAGTGCTCTTTCGAAAAAAGGCACTGTGTAATGCAAACTGTGCTTTTTCAAAAGCATCCAGGCTGCCTGGGTCCTCTCTTTTGAAAAAGTGGCTTGCTTTTTCGAGAGTACTCAGAAGGACAGACAAATTCGCCTACAAGTTGTTGTGAAAGAGTGATTTAGCTTACTGCATCATAATCAATCATGAGTAATCATCCCAGTAGTCTTAGCATCGTACATGGACAAATATAATGCAAGTGAAGGCAGAGTAACTCCAGATAAGAGTATTGCAATGTAGCAGCGCGGAGAATGAGGGAAAGCACACAGCATGGGTCACTCACTTCTCTGCCCTCTCTAGCCAGGTTAATCTGAGTGCCAATTGTCTGACTTAACTGTATTGAAGAAATACTTTTCCTGTAAGAGCTAAGGAGGAAGAAGACTCAAGCCATTCTCTTTAGAAGTAACCATTGGGCTGAAGAGCAGAATTGGGGATAGTGGAAGATTCCGTATTTGCTGAAGAATCATTTACAGTGTGGCGCACTCTTACTCCCAACCATCTGTATATAATGTGAAGTTTTTATCTATTGTCTTTGAAGCCTAAATCTGAGGCAAATTTGTTAAAGGCAGCAATTTCAAACAAAATACTGGGGTTCTAAAGATGGTTTTTGGAGGGTAAATTAGACCTTGTGAACAACAAGGTGAGTAAGGATCTATGGCAAGTCTATACTGGCACTTTACCGCACTGCAACTTTCTGGCTCGGATGTGAAAAAACCCTCCTTGTTCCAAGTCCAGCAAGCTACAGCGCTGTAAAGTTCAAGTGCAGACTGGGCTACAGTGCTGGGAACACAGTAGCTACTCCCCTTGTGGAGGTATCGGGGGCTCTGGGAAAGCCCTCTCCCAGTTCTCCTACTGTGGTTACACTGACACTTTAAAGCACTACCATGGCAGTGCTTTACATTTTATAGCAGAGTTGAGAGCTTGCTGTGCGCTGCTCTGGCAAGAAGAGCCAGCAGGCTGGAATGTTTGGTTATAGGAGGAGGTGGGGCACACTTCCAGCTGGGCTCCTAGGGCTCTCCTGCAAGTTCCTGTGCTTAACAGCAAGCAGCCAGGCAAGAAAAAGGTCTATCTGGGCTTGCTCCCATGGTGGTCTGAAACTGCCCCAACCTCACACTTTCTCCCCCAGGGTGCAATTTAAGGAGGGCATAGGGGGCTGAAGCCCCCCCATCCCTTGAGATTTGTACCGGGTCACTGCTTGCTATTCCGCTTCCTATCAAGGAGTGAGAAGAAAGCACACCACATGTACATTCCTCTCTTCTGGCTGGAGAAGGCAGAGGGCAGAAGAGTAAGTGATCTACACTGTGTGGTTTTTCTCTCGCTTTGTGAGTGACAGGGGATAGCAAACAATGTCCTGGTATGAATCTTGGGGAGAAGCAGATGACTACAGCCCTCCCCCCCCACCTTCCCTAAATAGAGCCTCCCCACATTACCACCTACACACACATGCTCTGACACCATATTCCTTCCCCCGCAATCCCAACATCCCCTGCCATGAGCCCCTCCACGTAACATGACTACTATGCTCCCCACACATCTCCAACTCCCTGCCCTCTAAATTGCTACTTTATTTCACTGGGACATCTTTAAATAGGGCCCTATCAAATTCAGGATCATAGTATTTTACAGTTTTAAGTTTCATAGTTCTGTAACCCTGGGGGTCCTGACCTAAAAGCAGATGATGGTGGGGGTTGGTTGTAAACCAAATTTAGGGAGTTACGGTATTGCCACTCTTTGCCTTTAGAGGGCTCCCAGCTAACAGCTGTGGAGCACCCTGTAGTCAGGGGAAGTTCCCAGAAGTGAATGTAATCCAGCCCTAGGAGCAGCCTGTGCAGAGCAAGATACGGTCCTGTTCCTCTCCAACTGCTAGCCCTGGCTGGGTTGAAGTCCTGCACATAGTAGGAGCTCCCAGTCCTGGCCTGCTCCCTCCAACTCCAGGCTTAACACTCAGGAGTTAAATGGGACTTAGCTGTGTTTGGGGGGTGACCTCTGTGTTCCCCCTTTCTGCCCAGTGTTCTGGGTAATTGCCCATATCACTCACTTACAAGGCTGGCCTTGTCTATCTCCTCCCCCAAAAGTAGTGAATCACCCAATACCATACCACCCTTATTTCTGCATTGCTGCTGGCAGAGAACTGCCATCAGACTGGTCTCTGGCCACCCAGCTCTGAAGGCATCACAGAAATAAGGGTGGCAATACCACAGCCCCCTACAATAGCCAGATTTCAAGGGTGAAAACCAGATTTTACAGTCCATAGCTTACTTTCCACCACCACAAATTTGACAGGGCCTTAACTTAGCTAACCTTACTGTTGGAAATAATACTACATTTTTGTTTTTATACTTCCAAAGCATAAATTTACTTTGGCTTAATTTTTTTCAATGCCTTTTTCCAAATTTTGTGTCTTGTTCACCACAAAGTCTCTTTTTTTTTTTTTTTTTTTTAAGAATGCATGTCTTTAGGTTTGTAATGAGCCCTGGAATATTTTACTGAGTATGCTATGTTTCATTAGCGAAAATGGAGCTCTAGGGGTACGTCTAGACTACATGCCTCTGGCGCCAGACGCATGTAGATTAGGCTACCAGACATAGGAAAATGAAGCGGCGATTTAAATAATCGCCGCTTCATTTAAATTTACATGGCTGCCGCGCTGAGCATACAAAGGGCTTTGATGTCGGCAGGGGAGCGTCCAGATTAGCGTGCTGAGCGGATAAACAGCTGATCAGCTGCTTGTCGGCTCAGCGCGGCAGCCATGTAAATTTAAATGAAGCGGCGATTATTTAAATCGCCGCTTCATTTTCCTATGTCTGGTAGCCTAATCTACATGCGTCTGGCGCCAGAGGCATGTAGTCTAGACGTACCCCTAGTATCTACGAAACTAAAATGCTATATTGTAGAAAACTATGGATTTTTTTTAATAGAATCTTATACTTAATTGCAATATTGGTAATCCTGCATATACATTTATTCTAACGCAATATATTTCTCAGTTATTTACAGGACTTAGAGCTCCTCCACGTGGATTATTGCTGTTTGGCCCACCAGGAAATGGGAAGACTATGTTGGTAAGAATTACTATTTATTTGGCAGAAGTTGAAATATAAGCTGTTGTCATGAATTGGTGCTTCTTTGGTCTGTGAAATTGAGAAATCCTGCATAGGAATCACCTAATCTTTATTACTATCATTCAGAGCTGTTTATTATCTCCTCCGTCAGCTCCTTACAGAACGGTTATCAGAGCCATTAGCTGTTAATTTTGAAAAGTCATGGACAATGGGTAGAGATTCCAGAAGACTGGAAAAGGGCGAACATAGTGCCCATCTTTCAAAAAGGAAATAAGGACTCCCCAGGGAATTATAGACCAGTCAGCTTAACTTCCATACCTGGGAAGATAATGGAGCAAATCATTAAAGAATTGGTTTGCAAATATCTGCAAGATAATAAGGTGAAAACTCAGTATGGGTTTGACAAGACCAACCAACATAATAGTTTGCTTGTTTCCCTATCAAAAAAACCCCAATGTGAATGTTGGAGGAGGGGGGGGGAAGCTGTAGATGTGGTATATCTAGACCAGGGTCGGCAGTGGCGCGAGGGATGGGAGCTCACCTCTGCCCCCATGCAGCTGCTGGAGAGCCCTCCCTCTTCCCTGCAACAGGTTAGGCTGCAGTGGAAGGAGGCAGCACTGGGGCTGAGGCTCCTCAGTGATGCCTCCGGCTCCAGCCCGAGACTGCATGGCCGTGGCAGCATTGCCTCGGGCTTCCGACTGCCCCAGAGGCCGAAGGTGCCACTACTGCGGCCATGCAGTCCTGGACTGGCCCCAGAGGTGCCACTGCCATGGCCACACGGTCCAGGGCTGGCCCAGGGTCGTGTGGTCATGGCAGCGGCACCTCCGGGGCTGGCCTGGGACTGCATAGCTGAGGCAGTTGCTGCAAAGGGGTGTGAAGCCAGGTAAGCATCCCACCTCATGCCCACATCCCCATACCCGTTGTCCTCACTCCACTCCCACTTGCCAAGACCCTGTACCCCCAGCATGCTCTGACACTCTCCCTTTTTCCTGCACCCTCCCTCCTGGCCAGACACCCTACCTCCATCCTGCTCCTGTACCCCCTGCCCTCCTTTGGCCTGGCCAGATACTTACCCTCACCCTGGTCCTGCATCCTCCTTTGCTCTTGCACCCTCCCTCCTCGCCACACACTGCACCCTCCCTTGTTCGTGCTCCCTTCACCTTGCTTGCTTCTGCATCCTACCTCCCACCCAGACCTCAAACCTCTCCCCTTTCTGCACACCCCTTCCCTTCCAGATCCTGCACCCCTATCCCTATTGCACTCACTGGCAGCTCTGTCTTGCCTGCTGACCTCTCATTTTTGTCCCTACCCCAGAGCTTAACAGGGTCCATAAAATCTAGTAACTCCAGCACCCCAGAAAAGCAAATGTGGCCTGTGAGAAACCCTGAACCTCAGTCCTCCCTGTCCTTTCCCCTCATCCTGTGAGGCTGGAGAACCAGAGGTATGAGGTGTCTCAATTGGGGGATGCATAGGTGAGGGTTGGGGCTTTTGGGAGGAGTGTGGTATGGTGTGTTCTTTTTTTTTTTTTTTTTACATGTGTGGTCCCCAACAGATTTTTCTGTTGGGTCAGTGACCCCGACCCAAAAAAGGTTCCCCATTCCTGCCATAAATAAAGAAAACATTGAAATCTTTTGTGTTGGACATAGTATTTTACTTTATCAAACTTCATATTAAATAACAGTTTTAACTTTGTTAGTTTATCTCGCGCTGCAGCTGGTTCAGAACATATGGTCATGGGTTCAGAAATAGTGTCTAGTCGAATAGTTGACTAATTGATAAGCAGGAGCTTATCAATTAGCACTATCAACTAGTTGCTGCCCCTTCCCCCCCCCCGGGGGGGGGGGGGGAGTGTGTGTGTGTGTGTGATGAATGAAAAGACACCCGCGGAGCATGAAGACTTTGCATGAAAGCTGCTTCCTTGGGGGAGGAGGGCGAGAGAGAGAGATTGATTTACAGTATAGAGCCATAGCTGAGGAGGTTTTGCTGTGAATTGGTACAAGCCAAACTAAGCGCCGCAGTGGCTTACCATTGTTGACTAATCATATAGTCGATAGCAAATCTATCGCATTTTAACATCCTTATGAGACACAATAATTTTTATATCCTATTCAAGATCCTGATTTAGCAAGCTAATTTACATCATACTCTGTTTTTCTTCATACAGTATACTTATTGCCATGGTCACCAACCCGTCCATCACAATCGACTGGTTGATTTTTGGGGGCACGACCAGTTGATTGCAAGGTGTTCCAGCTCCCCTCACCCATTCCTTTCCACCACCAAGAAGAGCCTATGCTGGCGCTACCTCCTGGGAAAATGGAGATAGCGCTGGCTTCCTGCAGCCAGCGGCACTCCAGATTGGGCATCTCAGCAAGCATGTGCACTCTTCCTCCTCCCTCCAAAACCAGCCGGCATGTTTCCTGAAGAGCTGGATCTGGAGTGCAGCCAGGGACTTCCTTCCCTGTGCTGCCTGCCTGCCTTCCTGCGCTGGGGGCCGGAGGGAATAAGAGTCCCCTGCTGCAGGCCAGATCTGACTTCTTAAGAAGCATGCTGGTTGTTTTGGGGAGGGGATGAGCAGTTTGTGCTGCAGAATCCCCAGGTCCTAACAGAGCTGTCCCTGCCCCTCCCCCTGGCCAGACCCCCACGAGTATGCTGCCAGGCCCCCGCCAGCACCCTGACCCACTGCCAGGCCCGCACCAGCAGCCTTCCCCTTGCCCAAACCTTCACCAGCACCCTGTTCCTGCCCCCTCCCTCCTGGCCAGACACCTACCCCCAGCTTGCTCCTGTACCCTATTTTCAACACACATTCTGTACCCCCATCCCACTCACTGGCAGCCCTGCCCTACACACTGGATCCCTTATTTTGGGCCATACCTCAGAGTGTAGAGGGGCCCACAAATTCTGCTAACCCTGGTTCTCCAGAAGAGTTAGTCTGTCCTGAACCTCAGTCCTACCTACCCTCTTCCCACCCGCTCCACCCACCGCCATGAGGCTGGGGTGCTAGG